TCCTAGAGCCCCTGGGCCCGAACGAGGCAAAACCTCGCCCAGTATGAAAACATTGCTGCGCCATGATCTCCGGGCCACGCCGACGAAGCCGTGCTCGAGCCACGGGCGCCCCCCGAACGGGGAACCGCCCCATGCTGCCAGAGCCTCCGGCTCGGACGCCAACAAAAAAAACTGCGGCGGGCGCGTTGGGAAGGCAGGGCGAAGTCGGGCGTGTCCCACCTACAGGGGGATTTTGGGCGGAAACATGAAAATACAAACACAAGCATGATCGAACCTGGTAAAACAGTCGTCCCCAGACTCTTGTTTCGCAAGGTTTGAAGATTCCTCCTGGAGAGGGGCACGCCCGACTTGAGGGTAAGGTGCAGCATCGATCGCCGAAAAACACGCTGTCCCTGCGGGGCGATCCCCCCTGGGCGGGCCCCCTCTGCGCACGCCGTGCCCCTGCTGGGCTCCCTCGGCGCACGCTGTCCCCGGAGTGAAGGATACCGTCCTTCAGAAGGACTCCTTCTCCCTGCAGAGGGACTGAACCCCAGGGCCTCTGCAGGGAGAAGGACTCCTTCTCCCTTCAGAGTGAAGGATACCGTCCCTCAGAAGGACTCCTTCTCCCTTCAGAGCGAAGGAGACCGTCCTCTGCAGGGAGAAGGACTCCTTCTCCCTGCAGGGGGACTGAACCCTGGGCCTTCCCCCAGCACCAGCTCTTCATCCCGAGTCGCTCTCTGGCAGTGCTGGGGCCCGTGGAGGGCCCAGGGAGGCCAGAAACGGCAAAAACCTCAGGACGGTTCCCTTCAGGACCCGCCTCCCCCATCCCACAGCGAATGGGAGCTCAACCGGAGGCCACAGTACCACCGCCCGCATGCGCCACCCACACCCGTTTCGTCAGACCCCTCACACGTTTCGTGGCCCCATCGGGAGCTCCACCGAAGGCCACAGTGCCACCGCCCGCATGCGTCACCCACACCCATTTCGTCACACCCCTCACACGCTTCGTGGCTCCACAGGGAGCTCCAATGGAGGCCCCGGTGCCACCGCCCGCATGCGTCACCCACACCCATTTCGGCACACTCCTCACACGTTTCGTGGCCCCATAGGGAGCTCCACCGAAGGCGCAAGTACCACCGCCCGCATGCGCCACCCACACCCATTTCGGCACACCACTCGCACGCTTCGTGGCCCCATAGGGAGCTCCAATGAAGGCCCCGGTGCCACCGCCCGCATGCGTCACCCACACCCATTCCGGCACACTCCTCACACGTTTCGTGGCCCCATCGGGAGCTCCACCGAAGGCGCCAGTACCACCGCCCGCATGCGTCACCCACACCCATTTCGGCACACTCCTCACACGTTTCGTGGCCCCATAGGGAGCTCCACCGAAGGCGCAAGTACCACCGCCCGCATGCGTCACCCACACCCATTTCGGCACACCTCTCGCACGTTTCGTGGCCCCATAGGGAGTGAGCTCCACCAATGGCCCCAGTGCCCCGCATGCGCCACCCACGCACGTTTCGGCACACCCCTCACCCGTTTCGTGGCCCCATATGGAGCTCCACCGAAGGCGCCAGTGGCTGCGTTCGCATGCGCCCACCGCACCCATTTCGGCACGGCCCCAGTGGCTGCGTTCGCATGCGCCCACCACACCCATTTCGGCACACCCCTCACGCGTTTCGTGGCCCCATAGGTAATTCCACCGACAGCCCAAGTGGCTGCTTTCGCATGCGCCCACCGGACAATTTGTGGCACACCCCTCACACGTTCGTGGCCCTATAGGAAGCTCCTCCGAGTGCGGTGCATACAACGAGGGTGCTCACAACTGCACATGGTTGGGCCCTTCGCCAGGCTAATTGCATATTCCTCCTGTAGAGGGACACGCCCGACTTAATCTTACCCCTTTTCGTCACCCTCGTCATCATATTGATATGACTTTTTCGGCGAAACCGCCCGAAGCAGACGTCACACTGGCGCCAGGACAGCCGGTTGTTCTTCGTCCCCTGGAGTCCACCAAACCGGGGTCGAAGTAGACGGGGTCAGAAGACGTCGTCGCATCACCGATGCATCGGCCACCCGTCGGCGACGTCGGCGATGCATCGGCGACGCTGGCGCAGAGGGGGTCGGGCTCAACGTGGAGCCGCACCGCCGATGCACCAACGATGCGGCGGAATCCGCCGACCCCATCTGCGTCGACGACCCCCATCTGTTCCGCCACGCGACAGGGCAACGGAGGAGATCACCCCGCGGGGCATGCGGCGAGACAACACAACACGGAGGAGCTAGAGGAGACTGACCAGCGGTAAAAGGTCGCATGCCCCGTGGTACTTCACGGACGCTGCCAACTACTGGCCGCCGCCACTCTGGCGGCAGATGTCCCCCTTCTTCTCGTCAACGTTCCGATGGAACCGAGGCGCAGGACATCGGCGGATCGGGTGCGCCCAGGAGGGGGATCAGGAAGGTGTGTGTGTGTGTGTCTGTGTGTGTGTGTGTGTGCGTGCGTGCGTGCGTGCGTGCGTGCGTGCGTGCGTGCGTGCGTGTGTGTGTGTGTGAGAGTGTGTGTGTGCGTGCGTGCGTGCGTGCGTGCGTGCGTGCGTGCGTGCGTGTGTGTGTGCATCGTGGCCCGAGGCGTGGGCGTGGACGAGCTGGGGCAAGGGGATGCGTCCAAAGAGCAAGGGGAGGGCCATGAACTCCGGGGCGATGGCATCGCCTTGGCGAAGATGGCCACCCCTCGTGGCCGCCCCCGCCCGACAACGGCCGCCGCTGGGCAGGCGCCTCCGCGGTCTCGGGTGGGAGTCGTCCGCGGCGACGCCGGACAGCGAGCTCTGCTCACAGAGGTGGGCAGGAGCTGCTGCTGGTCTGCACGAGCAGAGGAGCCGAGAAAGTCATGGGAAGCAGACTTTCAGAGCCCCGCGAGGGGCAGCAGCAGTTTGTGCTTGTGCCAGTCTCTCTTCGTCAATTATTCGGGGATCGCGCGCCCATGGTCCCAAGAACGGCATCCTGCGGCCAGCGACCCAGCAGCTCACAGAGCGGCCCCTGCCCCTCTCTCAGCGGGTGGCGCACCGAAGCCACCGCCGCCACCAAGTGTGCGTCCCCATTCGTCCCGTACGAGGCGGACAAGCAAACACACATACAGTCGAGACGCTGTCATCAAGAAACCTGAGATTAAGGAACGCGGCTCCTTTTTTCTATAGTTAAGTTGCACTTCGACTTCCCATAGAATACCCCCCGGAAAACCTAAGGAAAACAGTAAAGCCATGACAGAATACTGAACCCCTCCACAACGAAAAGGGTTCCTTCTTCAGCTGCCCAGCTGTAAGCATGAAAACTCGGAAGTCCGCAAAGACTTTTGGCCGCCCGAATTGTCCAAGATGACTACGGCCTGAGATAAACAAAAAGTCTGGTTTGGGCCGCCCCAAGCCCTGATGACTCGGGCCTCTCAGATTGGACGAATCGGCGCTGGACACCCTCCGCCTGGCGCGCGAGGAGCGCGCCGCAGGTGCGGGCAATACTTCTGTCCATAGCTGCTGCAGTATGCAACTTCGGGCCCCCCTCCTCCGAAACCCGAGGCGCAGTGGATGTGGATACATTTGCAATCTCGAGGCTCGATCTTTATCCGCGCATCCAGTGCGCCTCGGCCTTGTGGCGCCCCTTCCGAGAAAGCCCAAGAAGCACTGGACATGGATAGAATGAAGGGGACCCAGGACACACAAATAAATACACACAAATAAAAATAGTCCCCAGATTTTTATATATGTTCTTGGTTTTTGTCTTCCAACCTACTTCCCATATTTTCCAATATTTTCCTGGGAATCGACGATTAAGTGTGTCTGTGTGTTTTTTCCCCTCCTGATAGAAATCTTGCCCACAACAGGGGGCGACCGCCGGAGGCGCCGCCAGGGGGAGCCCCTGGCGCGGATCCGAGGACGCCGAGCGGACCTCCGAGGCGTCGTGCTCCTGCCGCTGCTTGTCCTACCGTCGGGGCGTTGACCTAAGGAACCCTAAATAAGGAACGAGGCCCCTTTTTTCCATAAGTTAAACTTTGATCTCCCATCGAACATCTGAAGAAAACCTAAGGCAAACTGTAAAACAATCAAGGAACACCGAGCCCCTCCCCAACGAACAGGGTTCCTTCTTCAGCGCCCCGACTGTAAGACGAGCGCGGCTTTTGGGGGGCCGCGTGGGGACCAAACCTGGGCGCGCAAGCCGTTGCTCCTGCTTCGCTTTCAGCCATCTGGGGACCCATCTGTGCCCGCACCAAAGGTCACTCCGGCGAAAGGTCACTCTTACGTCTAGTCGAAGCTAAGACGAGGATAACCAGCTACGCCTGAGAAAAACACCGGGGACAATACAAAGTTCGGGGTCCCGGGGGGGGATGATCAACGATCTGTCCCGGCAAGTCGCACGCGTGCTGTATGACGACGACGACGGCGATAACATCGGGTGCGGACAAAACAAGAATAGACTCGGCGGCTCCAGAGGCTGTCTCGGGCGCCGCGGCCCTATCAGCGCGTTCCGAAATGCCCTGAAAGCGTTCCGGAACGCTCTGGAGCGGATGTATCCTCGCCCTACAGCGGAGGCCAGTCCACAAGAAACCTCCCACAAGAAACCCAACCCTGAGACCCCACGACGTCCACTGATTCTTCGTGCGGGAACGTCACGCTCTCCATGGCAAGACCAGCCGAGCCCAAGAGACACAGGGCACCCTGGAGGCAAGCAGAGTTCCTCTTAGCGTGGGCCTCCACCGCAGCCCCCCCCCCCCGGCGCTCCTTCCCCGATCCACTTCTGCGCCCACGGCGATGCCGCAGATTACCGTCCCTCGCCCTCGCTCCGACGTCCGTGCCCCCCTGTGCATTTCTGTTGCGGTGCCGCGCGCGTGTTTTTTTCCGCGGGGGGGGACACACGAATGCTCCTCGCAGGCCGTCGTCGCGGACAAGAAGTGCACACGTCCGAGCGGTTCCAACCCATGCGATCCGACGTTGCACAAAAGATGCCGCGTCGCAAAAAAAATCACGACCGGCGCCCTGGACCCCACTGGGTCGATCTGTGAGAGGGCCCAAGGGGGCCCGAGCTGGAGCGAGAACGCCCGCTGTGATCGAAGGGCAACGCCGGGCAGGTCCCCCGATTCGAGCGCCCCGGGGAGAGCGGCATGCGGCAGAGCGTAGCACGGCGCCGGCCAGCGCGAGGGAGGTGCCCCCAGCGGACGCGGCGAGCGTGCCGCTCAAGCGGGCGTCGAGGCCGGGCCACCTTCCGCGAGGGGGCCATGGCCAGGCCGCGGCGGAGCTGATCTCCTCCTCGCGCCGCCGCGGGCCTCTGGCGCCATGGAGGAGGGGCGAGGAGCGAGGAGCGAGAGGAGGGGGAGGAGGAGGCGGAGGAGGCGGATGAGGAGGAGGACGAGGACGAGGAGGAGGAGGAGGAGGAGGAGCAGCAGGACAAGGACGGCGAGGAGGGTGAGGAGGAGGGGGAGGAGGAGGAGAGGAGGAGGAGGAGGAGGAGGAGGAGGAGGAGAAGACTGAGAAGGAGGAGGAGGAGGAGGAGGAGGAGAAGACTGAGGAGGAGGAGGAGGAGGAGGAGTAGGAGGAGGAGGGTGAGGAGGAGGAAGAGGAGAATGAGGACGAGGAGGAGAAGGGACACTCCACCGCACGTGGGGCAGGACACGCCGGCAGCAGCGGCAACGAGGTGGAAAGCGAAATTATGAGGTCTCACACTACAGCTGTCCAGGCAGGAAGGCATGTTTAAAATATGCAATCGGAGTTCCCCAGATAAGGATGTCAAGGACTTCGCGAGCTTTACATTACTTTTTTGTCATCAACATGCTAAGGTTCTGCCAACTATTCAGATCCCGAGCGCATGGAAGGGCAGAAGAAGGCAAGGAGGGGAAACAACAAAGAGGACATGTTGGATTGTTGAGGACCCGGAGAGTGCCCCAAAAGGGTCTCAGGGGCTCAAGCGCATTTCAGGAATGCTTCAATCAATAACACAAGTTCGAGATTCGAGGGGGGATCGAATCCCCCCCTCGTCCTGTCTCGAAGCTCTCACAATGGCTTCGAGAGCTCCCTCAGAGCTGGTTCTGGAGATAGAATCTGCGCTACTGGTGAGGCTGGTGGAGGGGAGAAAGACACGATCGCAATTGAAAAACACGGGTTTCGCATAGCCCGCGCAGTCCGACACGGCCTCCCTGGAAGGAGAGGCTGAGCTTCTGGTGAGGCTGGTGCAGGCCCCGCGCAGTCCGACACGGCCTCCCTTCACGTAGAGGCTGCGCTATTGGTGAGGCTGGTATACGCTGGAGTGCACGATCCCTGATAGATAACACGGTGTTCGCATACAATCGGGCTGCTGGAATAAAGAGCTGTCGATAAGGAGCGGCACCCTTCTTCCAAATCGAGTCATCAAATCCGAAAGAACGACCGAACCCCTTTTTAGCGGTGTTCCGTCATGGCCGGCCTGCATGATTGAAACCCCACCACCTCTGCGCGTGCCGGAGTGTACGGAACACCGAAGGGGCTCGACATCACAGAAGCAACAACACGCATGCATGCCCAAGGAACCACCAAGCCCCTTGCGACCTCGACCTGGATCTTACTTCAACGAACTGCCTGTAGCCCGCGCAATCCGACACGGCCTCCCTGGAGGTAGAATCTGTGCTACAAGTGAGGCTGGTGAAAGCTGGAAGGCACGATCCCTGATACATTTACATATAGAATACGGGGTTTCGCATAGCCCGCGCAGTGGTGGAACCTGGAACATACGATCCCTACTAAACATACGGGTTTCCCATGATCCGCGCAATCCGACACGGCCCCCCTGTAGGTAGAAGTTGTGTTACTGGATGGTCGGAGGAAGCAAGATGCATTGTAAATGACGTGGTAATCGTATACCCTGCCGCTAGAAAATACCATGGCATCTGCTAAATACGATTGTGCCCGGGGGACTGGTAGCATGGTGGAGCTTGCAAGAGAAGGGGATGTGGAGCTGGCTGGAATGAGGGGGTGTGGAGCTTGCATGAGGAGGAGCTTGAGAGGAGGAAGGATGAGTAAAAGGGTGTTCTAGCACGACCAGCACCCACACAGGATGTGGGTGCTACAACAGAGGGGGAACAGGAACAGGAGGAAGAGGATGATGATCAGGAGTTGGAGGAAGAAGGAGATGAACACGATGAGCGAATATTGAAAATCGAGGAGAGGGATGAGGGCGATAAGAGTGATGATATGATGATGGGGATGATGCGGCTGTTGCTGATGGTGATGCTGACGATCATGATGATGACGACGATGATGATGGTGAGGATGATGATGATGATGATGATGATGATGATGATGCTCATGCTGGTGATGATGATGATGCTGATGATGATGATGATGATGATGACGGTGATGATGATGACTGTTGTGACGATGGTGGTGGTGGTGGTGATGGTGATGTTGATGACGGTGATGGTGATGACGACTACAAATGATGAAGCTAAGATGCAGACGATAAGTAACGTGAGGGCGGGGAAGATGAACACGAGGGAGGATGGAGAGGATGGGCAGGAATATCATGAGGAGGACACAGGGTGGGATGAAATGAAGGGAAGGACTTGGGAATTGTGCAGCCAGGGCGGGGAAGGCTAGATGAGGAGAGGAGGAAAGACGGGAACATCAGTGCGATACTGATGAGGGGGATCGGAGAACATAAAGATGATGAGTGGGCGGGGAAGGCAGTTGGCCAGAAGAAGGAGGAGATGCAAGGCCATCAGAAGGAAAGGTGGGGGCGAGGGGGGTAGGATCCTTAGCTAGGAGGGGAACGGGGGGATGAGGAGGAGAAAGGGCATGAGCAAAGGGAAGAGGAGGGGACCGAGCCTGGGACGGAAAAAGGGAGGACGAAGGGTCGAATCCTGGTCGTCGTCGCCGCAACTCGGCGCCGCCGCCCTGCTCCCAAACTTTGGACGCCCGAAACGGGTACGGAAAGACTGGGTACGATGCCCCCGCTGCGCTGCGACGCCGACAGCGAACCCTCGGCAGAGTTGGCGGGAGCTGCTATCGGTCCTCGCGCCCACTCCTACCGTACCCGATCGGATCGTGTTGGCGACTGGAGACCTGGAAAAATGGGCGCCCACACCAACACGGGGATGCGCCGCCACAGGGGGAAGATGATCCTGGATCTCGGTGCTGGTGGTACTCTTTCGGTCGCCCTGGAAGCCAAAATATACTACTACCACCACCACCACCACCACCGAGGTCGGGATCCCCTCCCCTCGATGGAGGCACACCGCTGAGATCGGCGCGAGTGTCGACCTCCGGGCCTGTCATCGAGGAGGAGGCGGAGGAGGGGGAGGAGGAGGAGGAGGAGGAAGAGGAGGAGGAGGGGGAGGGGAAGGAGGAGGGGGAGGAGGAGGCGGAGGAGGCGGAGGCGGAGGCGGAGGCGGAGGCGGAGGCGGAGGCGGAGGAGGAGGAGGAGGAGGAGGAGGCAGCGAGCGATGAAGAGCGAGTCCGAGCGTGCGGACCCGCTTCAGCGGGAAGGAAGTTGGCAGCGACACGGCGAGGCCACGAGCCATCGCACCGCGCCGCTAGTCCTCGACAGCGCCGTCCCCGCCGCGTCAGAAGGCCGACGGAGGAGACCGGGCGTCGAGGGCATCATGGGCAAGGGTCCCCCGATCGGGGGTGCAGCCCGCGCAACGCACGGGAGATCTGCATCTCCTCGTTCGCACGCGTGGAAGCTACGTCCGAGTGCCCCTTGCACTGGGCCCGCAGCTTGCGGTTGCGGCCTCCAGCCACACTGAAAGCCCCACAGCAGAGGCAGATGACCGTGGAGCCGAAACGCTCCACACCGTGGCCAAGTTCCGAGTACAATTCCACCTCCCGATCGACCCCGACGGCGACGACGTTAGCCCCCACTCCCCCTCCCGCAGGCGGGCCTCCAGGGGGCCCTGGGCCTTCATCAAGGCCTGCAGCGCGCGCGGCGGCGTCCACCGCAAGCGAGGCGTGCCGATAGCGCTCGGGGGCGAGGGCGAAATAACGCGTCGCCATCGCTCGCAGGAGATCCGTGGGCTCGCATCGCCTCGCTCGAAGGGCCTTCAAGGAGTCGGGAGTCATCGCGAACCTGTTACAATTCAGGCACCTGTATTCTGACAGGCTCTCGCAATATCGAAGCTCATGCGAGTCCAGCACAACCAGGGGGGTGGTGACGACACGACAGACCTGAGACGGCACAACTTCCCTGGGCTGGAGCTCCACATTCTTTTTGGCGGCTGCTTGGGCCATCCATGCAAACACATGGGAATGGTCCTTGGCCGCCTTCATGGCTTGCTTATAATAGTCCTGCATGGTCTGGCCTGCAGAGTGCACCAGAGCCCCACGCTTGGCGAAGAAGTCTGCCCACTCGTTTGCAACGAAACGGACAAAATCGCAATCAGGGGCCTCCAAGGCCGCCGAGAGATCTCTGTGGGCTGGGGCCCACTCGAAGGTAGGAAGAACCTCCGAACAGATCCGACGAATTTTTCCCACACCGCAGCGCGACGGCCACTAGACGAGGCAGCTGCCTCCGACCAAGCACACCCCTCTCGCACCAGATTCAGGTGATCTGAAACTACAATCGCTGGCTGCTGCGCAACTTCTACTGCTTTGAGCGCTGCGAAGTGCTCCGCTCGCGGCACCGTCTGCACCGCTCCTGGGAGCGCGCCAAAAATTGCACGCAAAACATTGCCCGCATCGTCGGCTTCTACCACTGACCAGCCGCAGCGGGCCAGCTCTGGGATCGACGACGCTTGGCCGCTTCCGTCCGTGAACACCCTCCGCCCCCATCGCCCACGCAAGTCCCCCCATCCCATCACAGGGTGCACGTCGCTCGGGGGCGACAGCGCTGGCGGCTCAGGCGGCAAACCGAAGCTGAGATAAAATTGATCCGCTCCAGACTGCGAATTATTCTAAGCCTTGATGGCCGTCCTAAGCTCGAGGACACTATCAGGAACTGGCACGTCCAATCCTTCTAACATGGCTTCGCACTCGAACCATTGATGGGACTCGTTGCCAATCGCCTGCTTGCACACGAAACACTGCGGGGAACTGCGGAGACCTATGCTGTGCAACCGCTTGGGGGTCCAAACTCCTGACGACCAGAGCGTTCGCAAGGCTCCTCGCCTCGCAACGTCTCTCACTGCAAGAACTGCTTTCCGCATTCCCCTCCTCCAGCAGCTCTCTCCAAGGCTGTTGGGAAGGTGCTGAAGGATCCTATCTACCTGCCAGCGGCGAAGTCCTTCCTCCAAGAAGGCTTTCACATCACCTGGGCAATCCCTAACTAAATCGACGTGGCGACCTCGATCGCCCACAAGCA